GCCGGTCCCCGGTGCCCTCCCGTGCCCTCGGCCGGGCTCCCAAGGGTGGCTGAGCGGGTGCTTGTGGCCCCTGCTTCCCCCCGGTGCTTGCAGGAGGGGCAGCCGTGGGGTCCCGGCCCGGTGCTGGGGCTGGCTCAGTGCGGGTGCACGCGTGTTTGGCGTGTGCCAGGCTGTGCCAGGCTGTGCCAGGCTGTGCCAGGGTGGGTGTCCGTGCCGAGCCAGCCGCGGCTCCAGCGGGAGCTCCCTGCACCGGCCGGGCAGCGTTGAGTCAGCGCTGGGGAGGCTCCCCCCGCAGCAAACCAGTTCCCCGGGCACTGGAGAAACTGGAGGGACACCGGGGCGAGCCTGGGCCTTGAGTCACTGTGTGCCAAGGGAGGGACACGGAGCGGGGCACGCTGGGGACGGGCGGGGTCGGGCTCAGCCGCAGCTCCCGGCAGGGAAACGGGGCCGGGGGGAGCCCCAGAGCTCCCCGAGTCCGGCCCCGAGTCCTCCCGGGGCTCCAGGGGCGTCCCGCGGTCACCGTCCCTCCAGCGGGGGAAATGGGCAGGTAGGAGAGGAAAGAGAAGAGGAAGAGGAAAAGGAAAAGGAAGAGGAAGAGGAAAAGGAAGAGGAAGAGGAAAGGGACTCCCCCATGAGCCGTGTCCCCTGCCCCGGTGGACTCGGGGTGCCGCTCCCCGCTCCCAGCGGGATCCGGAGGGCTCGGCTCCGTTCGGCCACAGCTGCCAAGCGTTCCCAGCTCCCAGCACCGGGGCGGGGCAGCCGCTGCTGTGTTTGGAGGCAGTGAGGGCCGTGGGCTCTGGAGGTATCAGCCGGCTCAGCTCCTTGGGAGCGCCCTGAGCAGGATTTGATGGGGGTTCTCCAGCCCCCCAAGAAAGATGAGAGCCCTGTTTGCCAGGCCACCACTGAGAGGAGGAAGATGCAGGAGAGGCCGATGCTTTGGGAGGTGAGATTCAGCTGCTGAGGAGAGGCTCTGCCTTTCCTCAATACCCTGCCGTGCCCTCCTGGCTCCCCCAAAGCAATTTTAGCAATTTCCTCCCCCACTGCCTGGGTTTGCTGTTGGGGGAGTGAGGTTTGAACAGGGCTGGGGGGATTTAAGGGGCAAGGGCAGACGTGTGAGCTCTGGTCTGGGGGGGTCTGCAGCCTCCGAGGAACATCCTTCAGCCATCGATTCCCCTTTATCAGGGAGCAGGAATATGTATGGGCTGAGGTGCTGATCAATCCCGCCCTGCCGCCGATCGATCAATCAGCTGCTGCCCCGGGGCTTCTATCAAAGGGAGCTGCCGAATTTGGGCACAGCCCATGGCTGCAGGCCAGGGACACGGCTGTGTCTGTGCCCCTCTGCCCTGCGGGGCGAGCCTGGCCCCGGGCAGCGCCCTCAGGAGCCTCCTCATCCTCCCCTGGCCCCGGGCAGCGCCCTCAGGAGCCTCCTCATCCTCCCCGTGCCGGTGCCAGCGCCCCGGGAGCCCCCCTGGGCACGGGGCAGGACGGCCACGCTCCGTCCCCTGAGCTCCGGGGCACCACAGCCCGAAAGGAGCCCCGGGGCAGCGTTTTTGGAGGGTTGGGAAGGTGCTGCCTGCTGAGGGCACCCTCGGTGTGCCAGGGTCCCCCCAGCCCCGCGTTCCCAGCGCTGGGAGCATCCTCAGCCCCGGCTGGGGGCTGTGGGGGCCGGCCAGGGGGAGGAGCAGCCCCGTGGCTCCTTTATTGATTGCTCCGTAGCCAAAGGTCAGCGTGGAAGGGCGGGGAGGAGGGAGGTGCTGTGAGGGGCTCGCTGCCAGCCCTGGGGTGGAGAGCCCAGCGTGGGCGCCCAGCGCTGCCCTCGTGCCTCAGTTTCCCCAGCAGCAATGGGCTGGCAGGAGTGGGCAGTCCTGGGCTGGCTGGGCTGGGGGCTGAGGGCCGGCTCTGTGCCCACAGGACGGGGTGGAGGTTTGTGGGTGTGTGTGCAGCCAGGAGGGCTGGGCAGGGACAGGGATCCGTTTTCCTTGGCAGGAGCTCGGAGGATGCTTTGCTGGTCAGCGGTGACAGTGACAGCGCTGCGAGGTGGCGCTGGAGCCTCAGCCCAGATAAGATCATTTTCCACGGCCCTTCAGGACCCTGGAGGGGCTTTCAGCGCCCTGGGCACACCCAGGGTCCCCATCTCTGCCAGCGCTGCCACCCCCGTGCCCGGGTGCTGCCTATGCCAGGGCACGGGGGGAGCCCCGGGGCAGCTCCACGGCTCCGGCCCGGGGACAGCAGCGCCGGCGCTGGGCTCACGGAGCCGCAGGGATCCCGGAGCCGCAGGGATCACGGAGCCGCTGGGATCACGGAGCCGCTGGGATCGCGGAGCCCCTGGGATCACGGAGCCGCTGGCCTGGCCCCGGCCGTGCCGAGGGGAAGATTTACAGGCTGTCAGAGCCGGGGCCAGAGGTCAGCAGGGGTCAGAAAGTCCATTTCAGTGAGGTCACTGTCCACTTCTTTCAATCTAATGAAGCCATTATTTGTGAAAGCGGCCGCTTTGCCGGCGCTTCCCTTGAAGCCGAGCAGGGCAGAGCCACGGGCTCTGAAAGAACAGGAAGGAGTCCCCGTCCCTTCCCTTCCGCGTTTGCCATTCAGCAGCCCCGAAAACAAACACAGCGCGCACGGAAATGTGACACTGCTGCTGTGGGCTGGGACACGGCACCGCGGAGGGGATGGAAGTGCCCGGATCGGGGATGGGGCTGCGTCCCCTGGCTGGAAAGCCACCGAGGACGGGCAGAAACCGGGGGGTGCTGAGGAAGTTGCTGCTGCCTGCGAATAGTTCCAGGAAAGCGCCTCGGGGGCTGCTGCTGTCACTGCTGTCCGTCAGGAGGGGGCCGCGGGGGGAGGCTGGTGCAGGGTGCGGGTTATTTCCTGAAGGATTCGTTGTGGACAAGGCAAGGATGAGCTCATTGCTCGGCAGATCCTTCCACCGTGCCCTCACACCGCGCAGGCTGCGCCCTCCCCACATCCCGACAGAAACGGGGGAGCGGGGCAGGAGCTGGGATGGAAGCAGGGATGGGGAGAGGCGGATGAGCCGTGTGCAGGGTGGGTTGGTGGCTTTCTCCCCTCCTGCCCCGGCTGTCCCACAGCCGAGAGGAAAACGAGGATGAGTGTGGAACCTCTGCAGCCAGGAGAGGGGGCCAGACCGCTCCTGTCCGGGACGGTGCTGGGATGGTCCCGGGCCGCCACCCGCGCTGGCTGTGAGTTCCATCAGGGGCGGGGAGGTGAACAGGGACAGGAGCGCGGTTTCCTTCCCGCCAGCCCCGTCCCCGCCGCCAGCCCCGTCCGGGCCCGGGAGTTCTGCGGCTGCCAGAGCCTGGACAGGGACGGGAGCGGGGATCCCGCAGCAAACACCGGCCAGACCCTCCCCTCCTCCTGCTGCGGGTGCGGAGCTGCTCCTCGGCTTTGGGGAATCCTCGGCTCAGGACTGACGAGGAGAGAGCAGAGGAGTTTCCTCCAGCCCGGCTCGTGCCCTTTGAGAGCAGGATGAAGGTGAGGGGACAATCTGTGACACCGGGTGGGGTCACTCGTGACACCTCCCCCTCTGTCCCTGTGGGACACGGATCCACCTGCACCGAGTCCTGAGCTCCCAGCAGCTCACTGGGGTGCCTGCACAGAGAAAAACCCTCCTCTTCCTCCTCTTCATCCTCCTCCTCCTTTGCCGTCCGCCCGTGGGGTCCAGCGGGGCTGCTCGGCTCTATGGGGAAGGAGCAACGAGGAGTCTCCGGTGTGCGGGGCAGGAGCGGGAGGAGGGAGAGGAAGAGCAGGAGGAGGAGGAGGAAGGCAGCGCCAGGACCCTGGACAGGGCCGCGGTTCAGCACCACGGCCAGCGGCGGCGGCCCCGCGGGCGGCGGAGCCCTCACGGGGGGATTCCCCACGCGGGATTTCACCGCCAGCCCCGGCCCGGCCCGGGGTCCCCCCGCGGTGACACCGCGGTCCCGCCGCTCCCGGTGCCCACCCGGTGCCCCCCGGTGCCCGGCTCGGTGACACCACGCGGGACGGGCCCCGCGTGGGGCGGCCGCGGGGGGCTCAGACGCCACCCCCGGCCCCGGGTTCCCCTCGGGGGGCGCCGCCGGCTCGGTTCGGTTCGGTTCGGGGGCGGCGCGGGGCGGCCCCGGTCCCGGCGCGGCGGCGGGCGGCGCTGTGCCCCCGCGGCCGGCCGGGCCATTGTCCGCCGCCGGAAATGGAGCCGCTGGTCACTCGCTCGCCCTTTGTCCCCGCCGGGCCCCCGACACCGCCCCGGCACCGCTGCCCGCGCCGCTGCCGCCGGCACCGGGGGGAACGGGGCCGCGGGGGCTGCGCATCCCGGGGCTCGCACGATCCCGGGACTCGGGATGGGGCTGGGGGCGCAGGGAGCCCCCGGGGCCCCGGGAAGCCGCCCCCTCCCCCGCGCTGCCGCCCGGCCGGTGCCGGTTCCCCCGTCCCACCGGGCCGCGGCTCGCAGGTGGCTCCGCTCGTGGAGAAACGAGGCGGGAGCTGCCCCCGGGGGCCGGGGGTCCCAGCTCCAGCCCCCCCTGCCCGGTGTCACCTCCTGCCTTGACAGGTGGCCTCGCCCCCGAGTGCCCTAAGTGTGGGGGGGTCAGCCCACAGAGCCCCCCCGCCGCAAATCCCTCCCGGAATGTGTCGCTATTACCGGGGGGGTTAATTAGGATCACGTGGGGACGGGATGGCGGAGCAGGGCCCGGCGCCCCCCGGCCCCGCGGGTGGGTCCTGGGGGGGGGGCGGGGGCTGCCATTGTCTGCGAGAATTTGGGAGCCTTTGAAAAAACCCTCCCGCTCCCTCCCACCCCTATTGTTGGAGTGAAGATGGAGTCAAACCTCTCCCGGCTCCCTCCCGGCGGGGTCTAAGCTGGGGTTTTTGTTGGTTTTTTTTTTTTTTTTTCCTCTTTTTTTTTTTTTTTTTTTTCCTTTTTTTTTTGGCTGGCCTGATACCCTCAAAGCTGGCCGAGGAGGAGGAGGGAGGAGGCGGTAACAGCCACAACTCGGAATTTGCAAGCGAGTGTCGGGATGGGGTCTGTTTCCAACCAGCAGTTTGCAGGTTAAGTTATATTATTGTCGCAGCCCGCCTCGGCTCCGCGATTATTAATAACGAGGGCAGAGCCCGGCCGGGGGGCGCAGGGCCCCCCCCGAGCCCGGCCCGGGCAGTCCCGCTGAGCCCCGGCAGCGCGGCCGGGCCCGGCGGCGCCTCTGCCCCGCGCAGCGCTGGGGCTCGCAGGGGGGGATTTATCGGGGTTTTTACCCCCCCTCCAGCCCCGGGATGACCCCAGAAGTTTGGGGCCGCTGGCGGCTGCTGGGGCTGTTCGGGAGCGGGGGTGGGACGGTGCCAGGGGGGGATGCTGACGGCAAGGGAGAGTTTCTCCAGCGTGGCTTGCTGGGGGCAGGGGGGTTTCGGGTTGGTGTTTTGGGGGAGTTTCCCCCCCTTTTTATATTTTATTTCATTATTTTGGTTTTAGAAAAATAATTTGGCTATTTTTTTCGTCGCTTGTTTGGTCTTTTTTTTTGTGTGAGTCTGGGATTTTGAATTTTATTTTTCGTTTTTTAACGTTTTGAGGAAGAAACGGATTTAGGGCTCCCACTGCACGCACTGCCTGGGTCGTGCTGGCAGGAGCTGCCTTCGTTTCCTGGGGCGATCCCCGTGCACACGTGGAGGCAGAGCTCGCCTCTCTGTTGGTTTTTCGGGCGGTCGGGGATTTTTGGGGCATTTTCCAGCAGGATTGGAGGTTCCCGTGCGGGGCGGGGGGCGGCTGGGCCGGGGGCACCCGCGGCTGCCCCAGCCCCGGCTCAGCGGCTCCGTGGGTCTCTCCCAGGTGCGAAGCCGGGCGAGGAGCCGGCCGGAGACTCGCCCAAGGCCGAGAACGAGTCCCAGCCCCTGCACGGCTCCGGCATCTGTAAATGGTTCAACGTCCGCATGGGCTTCGGCTTCCTCTCCATGACCGCCAAGGGCGGCGCGACCCTGGACTCGCCCGTCGATGTCTTCGTGCACCAGGTACGGGCCGGGGCGCCGGGAGGGCAGGGAGCAGCCGGCGGAGGACGGAGGTGGGATGGGGACCCCCCTGCCGGATCCCCGGGCCGGCACCGCCGCTCCGGGGCTCCTCTCCGGGGACCGGCGCTGAAAGGCGATCCCGAGCCATTTCATTTTGCCGTGGTTGTTGCTGAGGAGCCCCTCGGAGCCGGGCCGGAGCGGGGACACCCCGGGAATGGGGGAGCGGGCGGCGCTGCCCCGGGACCCGCTCCGGGCCGGGCCGGGCCGGGCCGCGGCACCGGGAGCTCATCCCGGCACCGGGCAGCTCTGCCCGAGCCCTTTGTCCCGGGCGCGGGTGGCACAAAGGCGTCGCGTTTGTGTCCCTGCGGATCCGTGTGCCAGTGACAGTCCCGTGTCCGGCTCTGAGCCCGCTGAGCGGGGACACCCACGCGTGTCGGGGACCCTGCCCCGAGGGAGGTCGCGGATGCGGGGCTGAACGCCCCGGATCTCGGGGCAGGATCTGCCGGGAGATGCCCCCGGCTGGGGAAGGGGTTTGGGGATGGTGCCCAGAACGGGGCTCTGCGTGTGCCCCTCACCTCGGGACAGCGGCTGGGGGCAGAGCGAGCACCAAGGAAGGGGGCACGGGTGTTTTTGGGGCAAACACGGGGGGTTTGTGCACATGACTGAGAGCGGCACCTGGGGAGCAGCCTCCTGCAGGGGCTGCGCTCTCCTCGGGCCCAAAGCCCCCCAGACTGGGTCCATCCTGGGGGCTGGGGGCGCGGGGCTGGGCCCTGGGCTCTGAGGAGCTCCTGGAGCAGGGGGTCCCGGGGGTCGCTCTCTCCCTGCCCTCGAGGGGGGCTCCAGGCAGGGCTGGCAAGGAAATGATGGCCAGGGGAGATGCCAGTCCCTTCTCCTGGGCTGGGGCACGGGCAGAGCGCCTCGGTAGGAGCTGCTCTGCCAGGCACAGCTGGTTTTGGAGTCAAGGGCTCCAAATCAGGCAGGGGAAAACAGATCCTGGTGTTCTCCGGGGAGCAAATGGGCCTTTGCATCTCAATGCGGCGCAGCGGGACCCAGCGCTCCTGGGGAGCGCCTCCCGCCCTGCTCCCGGGTTTATTGCCCCCAGACAGTCTGGTTTCCTGATTGCTCCTGCTCACATTCCTGCAGGGCAAGGGAATTAGCTGGGGTGGCTCTGCCGGGAGCGTCCCCCTGCCCTGCAGCCTCCCGGTGCCCCCCGGTTCCTAAGGCCGGGGGAGCCGTGGGATCCCAGAGACTTCAGAGTTTGGAAATTCGGGGAACTCTGGGGAAAAGCGGCTTATTTTGGGGGCCAGAGGGGCCGGGGGCTCCCCTGCTGCAGCAAAGGGCTTTGCCCCACCAGAAGCTTTGGGCTGATGGAGAATTCTTCTCCTCCGGGCTGGGTTTCGCCTCCTGCTCCTCTCGCTGGTGGCACAAAGCCTCAGCTCTCCTGCAGAAACAGCCGGGGCTGCTCCCGGTGTCTCTCCTTGCAGAGGGAGCAGCTCACGCTGCCACCGCGGCTTTTGGGTGGAATCGGGTCCTTGTCCCGACGCTGTCCCCACCCCGAGAGCCCGTGTCAGCCCCGCTGCCGGGGAGGGAGGCAGGGCCGCCAGGGCAAAAGCCACCAAAAGCCACCAAAAGCCACCAAAGGCCAGGGGGAAACGCTCAGGGCTCGGTGTGCCCTGCCCAGCACACAGCACCCCAAAGCAGCTTTGGGGCTTAACACTCCAGAGCCCCTCAAAACCTGCTCCTTCCCCTCTTCATTTACATATGTGAATGATGACCCACAGGAAGTAATTGTGGGAGAAAGAAGGGAATTGGCCTCTTTAGATCTATTAAATCACTTTATTACAGGAACCAGGTCTGAATGGCCCCTCTCTGCAGGGAGCGCGTCTCCATCTCCCTCTGCCTTTATCTGATCACAAAGAGATTAAAATCTCGGCAGGACAGGAGACTAACAGGGCTCCTCGGGGCTGCCTTTCCCTCGCATTGTGAGCTAAAAATGAGGCATTTGGGTTCAAATGCCTCCCCTGGACACTGGAGATGGATTCATTTGGGGGCTGTGAGGAGACAGGAGGGATGAGGCAGAGGGGAGCAGAGCAGATCGTCCCGGGGAGCCAAGGGCTGAGCAGCACCCCTGAGGAAATGGGGATCTTGAGGTGGCAGAAATTGGGCTGCTGGTGATGGTGAAGACCCCAGAGGTGCAATGGCCCCCTCGGGATGCAGCTCCCGGGCTCTGAGCATCACTCCCAGGAGTGTGGAGCTGCCTGGGAAGGCAACGTGGAAAGAGGGAAAGGAGAAAACCAAGGCTGGGTGCCGCTGGTTGGAGCTGGAAGAGCAGCGCTGAGCAGCAGGGCTGGGATTGGGCTCGGGCTCTGGCCGGGGGCAGAGGGGAAGGGGATGTCCAGTGCATAGAAATCACTGCTCTCCACAGCTTGGCTCTTCATTTCTGAGCGTTTCTCCCAGCCAGCAGCTCAAAACCGTTGATAGATGCACTCAGTTGGGTGGTTTTGTTCCTTCTTGCGATTTCAGCAAGAAATTCTGCCGGGCACCGTGGGCACAGGGTTTGGTCACTGCGTGTCCTGGTGGGGACACAAAGCTGTGCCTGAGCTTGGACCCGCTGGGGCTGGGATGGGCACAAAAATGTGGGACTCGTGGGCACATCCCAGCACGGGAGGGGTTCCCGTCCCCTGTGCTGCCGGGCAGGGATGGATGGGATGGGATGGGACGGATGGGATGGTTTGGGATGGGGTGAGGGGGGTGGAAGCGGCCGTTTGGACACGGCTGAGCCCACCTGGGCTGTCACCCACCTGTGCCGGTGCCACGCCGTGCACGCGGCCAGGATAATACAAATAATCATCCACGTGAGCATGACGTGAGGCCTTTAAAAAAAAAAAAAAATCGCGTTCGGAGGCAGCTCCATGGCTGAGCGTGCGGGAAAGGCAGGAGGGGCAGTTCCTCTGTCAGGGAGCAGGACCCAGCCTTTCCCTGCGCTGGGCTGGGGGCAGATTCCGAGCGGGGATTTGGGCTGGGGGCAGGATCCGAGCAGGGATTTGGGCTGGGGGCAGGATCCGAGCGGGGATTTGGGCTCGGGGCAGGATCCGAGCGGGGATTTGGGCTGGGGGCAGGATCTGAGCGGGGATTTGGGCTGGAGGGGCAGGATCCGAGCGGGGATTTGGGCTGGGGGCAGGATCCGAGCAGGGATTTGGGCTGGGGGCAGGATCCGAGTGAGGATTTGGGCTGGGGGCAGGATCCGAGTGGGGCTTTGGGCTGGGGGCAGGATCCGAGTGAGGATTTGGGCTGAGGGCAGGATCCGAGCGGGGATTTGGGCTGTGTGGGCTGGGGTGCAGCGAGGGGACGGGGGATCCGTGATGCTCCATCCTCCAGGGACACGAGCAATATCTCCTCGCTTTTCCTGCTCCCTGTGTTCGCCCCCGCGCCAGGACCGGGGCACCAAAGGTGCTCATCCCTGGGGAAGGAAGAGATCGGGGAATCGCAGATTAGTTTGGGTTGGAAGGGACCTTTAGAGGTCATTTAGTGCAACCCCCCTGCAAGGAGCAGGGAACCCCCGCGGGGATCCCCTGGGGTAGAAATGCTCAAATGCTCCTCGGAATCTCTGCTGCTTCTTTCTTTTTTTTTTTTTTTTTTTTTTTTTTTGGGGGGGGGGGAGAGGGGTAGTGGCAATTTCTTTGGTTTTGTTTATTCTGTGGTTTGTTTTTTTTTAAATAACCGCTGGAATGAAATTGTATTGCGCCGCTTGTGCGCCGCCGCGTCCCGATGGGAAATACTGAAAGAGAGTGGCTTTATTCCACCCCTGAAACTCCCTCAAGACGCTCACACACACAAAAAAAGCCTCCTGTCTCTGTCTAAAGATTAACTGATGGCCGCAGGCACATCCCTTCCCCCAGCTCCCCCTCCCTGCCCCAGGGAGAGAAAACACCCGGGAATGGTCTCCTGATAAAACGGCCCAAATGAATGGGATTGCTCCGGGATGGAGCCCCCGGCCCCGCCGCCCCCTCCTCCAGCTCCGGCCTTGCCTCTTCCCCGTTCCCTGTTCCCTTTCTCCTCAGAATTAGCGGGGATGGAGCTGGAATCATCCTCGGGAGACGCGCGGCCGCTCCGGGCCGTGCTCCTGCTTTAAGACGGGAGCACGAAATTAATACGCAGCCACTGATCCCAATTAGCTGCTCCTGGGAAGTGCGGGAGGGTTTTGGTGGGGAAAAAAAATACAACCAAAGGAGCTAAAAGGATTTAGGACAGGAAACTGATGGATTAAACTCTGTGGTAGATGCCTTTTTTTTTTTTCTTTTCCCCCTCGGAATTGGTATCTAGAGTTTAATTTTACTGGCTTGTGGTGGAAAATTAGGAGCAAACATCGTTCCTTTGGCAGGGAAATGTCTTTATTTTGATTTTAGTAGGGATCGGTAGGGGTCCTTAGGGATATGGCAGCAGATGACGGGGAGGGAGCCAGTGGAAAGCCTCGGTGCTGTTTTGTTAAATCTCTGTGCTCTCCCCGAGGGCTCCAAAGGCATCGCCCTCCTTATCTCGGCCAAGCGCCCGGGGCTGAGGCAGGAGCCCTTTGCCGAGCACAGCCCCCGTTTGTGGGGTGCGGGAGGGAGGATTCCTGCTCCAAACCCTCCCCGAAACCCAAACCCCAACAGCAGCAGCGGCCCTGGAGCTCCTGGCGCCGGGAAAGATTTGCTGTGCGATTTGGGACAGGGACAATCCGGGCACAGGCTGTGAGGGCAAAGGGACATTTCCCTGCCGGGATTGGGGACTCGGTCACTGCCCCGAGCTGGCAGAGCCAGCCCTGCCCTGCCCAGCCCTGCCCTGCCCAGCCCTGCCCTGCCCTGCCTGCTCCGGGGGCTGTTTGCCCTCAGCCCAGGGGAGAACGGCCCTGCCAGGGCTGGGCTGGGGCCGCTGCACCCGCGGGTGGCGGAGCCACATCCAGCGGTGATGGGAGCACCCGTGGCTCGGGAATGGGGCAAATGTCACCCCAAAGCCACCCACACCCAGGCTGTTCCCACCGGCTGAGCCAAACCTGAGCCCCTGGGGCCGGGGCTGCTCCCCGGGATGGCCCTCGGGGTCCTGGTGGTCTGAGGGTGGCCCTGGGCTGGCTGGTGCCCTGGAGCCGGCAGAAGGAGGGGTTGGGGACAGGGACACGGTGGCTCTGGGGACAGAGGGCTGCAGAGGAGGCTGCGGGCACTGCAGTGGGTGCCAGCTGAGCCAGAGCTCACTGCAGACAGGGTACCCAGGGATGGGGGCTCAGCAGTCCCTGGGCTGCTTGTCCTGACCCTGCTCTGCAGACGGGGGGAAACTGAGGCACGGGCACTGCCTGCAGTGGGGTTGGGCTGCCCAAAACGCTCTGAGCAGGGCTCAGAGGTAGCCCTGGCAGAGCTGGGCACTGCCAGCAGTGTTCCCACAGCCGGGTTTGTCCCAGCATCCCAGCCCGGCTGGTTTAATCTCAGTTTAAAGGGCTCTGCAGAGCCGAGGTGCAGCGGCTGCTCCGCCCCGGGCCCCGCTGGACACAAAGATGGTTTGATTGAATGGCCGGGGCTGGCCGGGAATAAACGTCCCCTTGTGTCGCGCTGGGGACAATGGTGACCCCGGGGCCGGCCGAGCCCCTCGGGAGCCCGGCGGGGTGGGGGAGAGCCGGGCCCGGCACTTCGGGGGGCAGCGCTGGGGTTTGGGGCGCCCCGCGGTGTCATCCCTGGAGGACGGGAAAGGGTCTGAGAGCGGGAGCTGTGATGAGCGGTTTGCGGGGTGGGAGGAAGAGGAGGGATGAAGGCACCCGTGTGCAGGGGGCAGCCAGCCCGGGGGGTGGGCAGCTCGGGCACTCACGTGCTGCGGCTTTGTCCGCCCTAAATAACCGGGGAGTGGGGAAAGGGAGCGGGAGAAGGGCAGAGGTGCCCGCTGAGGTGCCCGGGGCCGCTGGTGAAGCTGCGCCCGCTCTGCCTCTGTCCCCTGTCCCCCCGTTCACTCTGGGCCCGATGGGCACAAGGAGATCCTGGCGCTTCCTTTGGGATGGCAAAGCTTTGTTAAATCTTTGCCGAGGCCCAGGGCCACCCCAGAGCCCCAAAGCACACAGGGGGACTGAGCCCGCAGCTCCCCGAGGGACCCAGAGCCTGACCCCGAGCCCAGAGCCCCAAACCACCCCACACCCCCGGGACTGAGCCCGCAGCTCCCCGAGGGACCCGGAGCCGAGCCGGGCGCTGTGAGCGCAGGGGCTGGAGGGGGTCAGAGGGCTCGCGGCCATGCCGGCCACCCTTCCTCCCCCCGCCGGGGCCTGGAACTCCTGGAATTTGGGCAGCGGGAGCGCGGCCGCCGCCGGCCCTTTGTTCTCCTGGCCGGTGGCTCCCGGCCCCGGCCCTCCCCTGCGCTCCCCCCCGTCCCCAGCATCCCCGGCTCGCTCCAATCCCCCCCTTCCTCTCTTTATTTTTTTGGGGGGGGGGGGGGGTGTGGGTGTGCGGAGGCCTGGGAAGGCTCCGGCTTTGTGTGTGGTGTGGGACAGGGGCTCTGGGCCCCTTCCTTTCAGATGCAGGAGGTATGCAGCTAATTCAATGGGCTGCAGTTTGATTACCTATCTGATAACAGAGGAATGCCAGCAATGTGTGTGTTTTGGGAAGGGGGCAGGGGGGATGCGCAGGGACCACCGGCCACTCTGCAGCGCACATCAAAAGGCTGAAGGGGAGGAGGGGGAGAGCTGGGACGCCCCAGCCTCTGTCCCCCCCTTCCCTGGGGAGAGGGCGTTTCCTTTGGCCTTTTGGCGGAGGGGGCTGGGGGTGCTTGTCATCCTCACCCGCTCCTGGAAAATAAATCGCTTCCCCGTCATGTTGCGGCAGCTTCTGCCTCATCCCTCCTCTTCCTCCCGGTGGGGCTGAGGGTGCGCGGGGCTGGGCTCCGGCAGAGGGGCGGGGGTGCCCAAGGTGGGGCTGAGCTGGGGGGCCCAGCCCGGGCGCTGGGGACCCCCTGGCACGGCTCAGCTTTAGCCCGAAGCTCAGGGCTGGGCGCCTGGGAGTTTTCATCCCGGCAGTGTAAACACAGCTGGGCCAGCTGGGGCTGTAAACGCCCCGAGAGGAGCCACGGGAGGTGGTTGGGCTCGGCCCCCGCTCCCAGGGCTGCCTCCCGTGCCAGGGAGTGACGCTCAGCCCCTCCTCACCTCCTAACCCTGGGCTGCTGTGGCAATGGGGTAAATTCCCCATTTGGGGCAGCTCCCATTGCCCAAATCACCTCAGGCTGGGGACAGCCCAGGGTGGTGGCTGAGGATGTGCTGGGGGCACTCTGGGATGTGCTGGGGGCACTCTGGGATGTGCTGGGGACACTCTGGGATGTGCTGGGGTCACTCTGGGATGTGCTGGGGTCACTCTGGGATGTGCTGGGGACACCTCTGGGATGTGCTGGGGACACTCTGGGATGTGCTGGGGACACTCTGGGATGTGCTGGGGGCACTCTGGGATGTGCTGGGGACACTCTGGGATGTGCTGAGGCACCTCTGGGATGTGCTGGTGCCTTGGGCACAGAGCTCTTGCACGGGGCAGCCGGGTCGGTGGTGGGGAGCAGTGTTTGATCACTGTTTGGGGGGTTTGCCAGGGGCTGGTGGTGCTGGCACTGCCCAGGGTGGGCACAGGGGGCTGTGACACTCTGTCACCTCCTTGTTGTCATTTGGGACCTCAGAGCTCAGGGTCTGGCTCTCCCTTGAGGCAGCAGGGGCAGGTCAGAGAGCAAAGGAGGGTCCCTGTGGCCACCCTGGGTCCCATCCCAGCAGCCAAGGGGATCCAGGGCCTGGGGGTGACTTGGCCCAGCACATGGGGCCTGTCCCACCCTGAGCTGGACCCCAGGCACAGAAAGGGAGGGGAAAAGCAGCAGGAAAAGGGGTCTCAAGGGCTGCTTCTCGAGCTCTGCTGCGCTCCCACTTCTCTCGTACACAGGGACATCCCGCCAGACCCTGCCAAGGAAAATCCTAGAACCCAAGAGCTCCATTTCTCCCCTCTCTGTTTTTCCGTGGGCTGTTTCCCCGTCACTCCCGGTGGGATTCAGAGCAGGGATGGGAGCAGACGGTGCCTGCCCGTCCCGCACCGCGCTCACGGAGCCTCGGTGCCGGGAGAACGGGAGAACAGGAGAACACACACGTGACGGGAGCTCTCCGGCCATGAATGGCAGACGCTCCATTCATAAATGCAGGGTGGTGCTGCAGCCGCGCAGGCGTTGGGAATCCCCAGGGCAGGAGCAGGAGCTGCTCCTCCCTCTGAATCCAGCAAATCCCCTGAATTCGCTGCTGGAGCTCGTTGTGGCTCGCAGAGCAGCGGGGATGCCGAGCTGGAGCTGCTGCCCCCGGGCAGAGCAGCAGGGATGCTCAGGGCACAGAATTCCTGCCTGTGCCAAGGGATGCTCAGGGCACAGGGGCACAGAATTCCTGCCTGTGCCCGGGCAGAGCAGCAGGGATGCTCCTTAGGGATTTGTTCTGCTAAAATGGACAGAGCCCCTCAAAGTGGAGTGGGGTTTTCCTGTCACCTCACAACCCCCCCTTCCCAGCCTGGGTTTTTCTTGGCTCCCCTGCTTTGATTGTGTGGTGATAACCGATGTGGTGTTCCTGGAAGGAATGGGAGAAGCTCCCAGCAGTGATAATCCTGTGCCAAATGGCTGCTTAATTAATTATTGCAGGCGGTTAAAGGGCTTGAGCTGAGCTGAGCTGGGGGCCGGCAGTGCCAGCCTGCAGCCTCCTGGCCTTGCCACAGGGCCTGCCACTCATAGCACTGTGCAAAACCCCGAGATTCTTTTGTATTTAGAAAAAGCAGAACCAAGGGACAGGCAGAGGGGACATTTGCAGCTCTTGTGGCACAGGAGAGCTTTGTGCTGTGCCTGGAGAGCGCCCAGCTCTGTGCTGACCCCATCTCTCCCTGTGCCCCCTCCCCAGAGCAAGCTCCACATGGAGGGCTTCCGCAGCCTGAAGGAGGGCGAAGCTGTCGAGTTCACCTTCAAGAAATCATCCAAAGGCCTGGAGTCCATCCGGGTGACCGGCCCCGGGGGCGTCTTCTGCATTGGCAGCGAGAGGAGGCCCAAGGGGAAGAGCCTCCAGAAGCGCAGATCGAAAGGAGACCGGTGAGGGCTGGGCCGGGCTGGGGCCGAGCCCCGCGGGCACCGGGAGCTGCCCGGGCACCCCGGGATGGGCACTGGGAACTGCCCGGGCACCCTGGGATGGGCACCGGGAGCTGCCCGGGCACCCCGGGATGGGCACTGGGAACTGCCCGGGCACCCTGGGATGGGCACCGGGAGCTGCCCGGGCACCCCGGGATGGGCACTGGGAGCTGCCTGGGCACCCTGGGATGGGCACTGGGAGTTGCCTGGGCACCCCGGGATGGGCACTGGGAGCTGTCCGGGCACCCTGAGATGGGCACTGGGAGCTGCCCGGGCACCCCGGGATGGGCACTGGGAGCTGCCCGGGCACCCCGGGATGGGCACGGGGCCAGGAGCTGCCCGGGCACCCTGGGATGGGCACTGGGAGCTGCCCAGGCACCCCGGGATGGGCACGGGGCCGCGGGACAGGCAGTGACCCCGGGGCTGGGACAGCAGATTCCTGCAGTTCCTAATGAGCGGCAGATGCAGCGCGGTCGGGAAGGGGCAGGGGAGCAGCAGGGAGGGGCAGAGGTCAGGGACACCCCGGGCAGCCCCAGAGCCCTGCTGGCATGGGCAGTTTGTCCAGGAGAAGTTTGTCCTTTCCTTGTGGGGAGGAAACGGCCGGAGCACGGCGGGATGGGAGCCCCGGGCAAGTTTCTGGCCAGGCCTCCATCCCCCCTCTCCCATCCCCTCCCATCCTCTCCATCCTGGCTGCCTGGGGTGCCTCATCCCAGTTCTCCCAGTGGATGCTGTCCACCCCACTCAGCTGTTCTCATAAAAACACGTTTTTAAATTAATCAGAAAGGAATTGTGGAGGAAAAGGAAGGGGAAAAGGGTTGTGGCCGCCCTGCAGGGATGCAGGATTTGAAATGGACACAGGGCAGCTCCTTCTGCTCCGGTGTGAGGGTGGCACCCATGGGACAGGACCTGGGAGCTGCCACCCTTGGCACTGTCCCCACACGGTTATAGCTGGGGATGTCATCGTTCCTTGGCCTGTTCCTGGGGCAGTGTAACCCCGGCAGTGGGGTCTGGAGGCACAGGGGCCGGGACGCTGATGGAGCCAGAGGGGTGGAACCCCCACATCCCGATTTGTGTGTGGCTTCAGTGCAGTGGTTTGCTGCCATCTCCTGGGTGCCAGCAGCACCACTGAGCCCCAGCTGGCCCTGCTGGAGCCGGGGCTCTGCAGGGACCAACCCTGGGGCCACCACCCGCCCCAAAAACCGAGCCCAGCCCTGGCTAAGGAGCCAGCTGGGTCCCAGCATCCTCCCGCCTCATTTTGCTTCTCCTCCCCTCACCCAGGTGCTACAACTGCGGCGGGCTGGACCACCACGCCAAGGAGTGCAAGCTCCCTCCGCAGCCCAAGAAGTGCCACTTCTGCCAGAGCATCAGCCACATGGTGGCCAACTGCCCCGCCAAAGCACAGCAGTCGCCCAGCTCGCAGGGCAAGCCCGCCTACTTCCGAGAGGAGGAGGACATGCACAGCCCAGCGCTGCTCCCCGAGAGCCGGGAATGATGCGGGGCAGCCACAGGGGGCTCCCACCGGGGTGAGAAGGCTTTGGCAAGGCAAGGGGCACGGCAGGGGACAGGGAGGGCAGGCGGCAGTGCTGGCAGCGGGGACCTGGTGTCCCTGCACACACCTTTCCCCCACGCCCAGGCTGGGAGAAGCCCTGCTAGCATCAGGATGGCTGTTCCAGAACAGGGGAAGGCAGCACCCGACACGCTAAAAACCCCAACCATCCTAGATTAATCTTTATTCTTTTCCTAAGTTAAGCCAGGCAGTCGTGTCAGGGGAGGAGGAGCAGAGGGGAGCACCCCAGGGAGGAGCTGATGGCTCCTTGTTCTCCCAGCTCCACAGAGGCTCTGCACACCCAGGTGAGCTGGGGGACCCACTCTGCTCCTGTACCTGCCCCGGGGGAGGTGAGGGGAAGGCTGCCCCAGCAGCACCAGGGAGACGCCCGTGGGCCGGTCCCGCGGCTCCCTCTGCTCCTCGGGGCTCTCACTGCCAGGGACGTGTGAGGATTTGTGGTTTTCCACGGTTGTTCCATTGCTGACAGAGCAGAGCCCACATTTGGGCTCGTTCTGGGGGGAAATGGATCCTCTCTCGGGGCTGGAGTAACACCACCAGTCAGGGTGTGGGCTGCGAGCTGCAGCCTGGGGGAGAGCAAGCCAGAGGAAAACACTTTGTTTCCCCTAATCCTCCCCAAGTGCCAGCCCAGAGAGCACGAGGTGCTTCATGCAGGCAGCTCTTCCCCTCCCAGGCTTCTCCCAGCCTCTGGTCGTGGAGCTGGGGACACCCCAGTGCTGGGGACATCCCTGTGCTGGGGACATCCCTGTGCTGGGGACATCCCTGTGCTGGGGACATTCCTCTGCTTGGGGACACCCCTGTACTGGGGACACCCCTCCATTTGGGACACCCCCGTGCTGGGGACACGGCTGGGGACACCCCTGAGCTGGGGACACCCCTGAGCTGGGGACACCCCTGAGCTGGGGACACCCCCGTGCTCCTCCTGCCCACCCCACGCTGCAGACCCCACTGGCCCTGGGGCTGAGCCTCCCTGGGGACAGGGGACGGGGCTGTCCTGGGTTAGTGGCTGTCCCTGTCCCTGTCCCAGGTTAGCATTTGTCCCTGTCCCGGGTCAGTGGCTGCTGTCCCAGGTTAGTGGCTGTCCCTGTCTCAGGTCAGTGGCTGCTGTCCCGGGTTAGTGGCTGCTGTCCCAGGTTAGTTGCTGTCCCTGTCCCGGGTCAGTGGCTGTCCCTGTCCCAGGTCAGTGGCTGTCCCTGTCCCTGTCCCAGGTTAGTGGCTGTCCCTGTCCCTGTCCCGGGTCAGTGTCTGTCCCTGTCCTGGGTCAGTGTCTGTCCCTGTCCCAGGCTAGTGGCTGTCCCTGTCCCAGGTTAGTTGCTGTCCCTGTCCCGGGTTAGTGGCTGTCCCTGTCCCTGTCCCGGGTCAGTGGCTGTCCCTGTCCCAGGTTAGTTGCTGTCCCTGTCCCAGGTTAGTTGCTGTCCCTGTCCTGGGTTAGTGGCTGTCCCTGTCCCGGGTCAGTGGCTGCTGTCCCTGTCCCAGGTCAGTGGCTGTCCCTGTCCCGGGTTAGTGGCTGTCCCTGTCCCTGTCCCAGGTCAGTGGCTGTCCCTGTCCCAGGTCAGTGGCTGTCCCTGTCCCAGGTCAGTGGCTGTCCCTGTCCCAGGTTAGTGGCTGCTGTCCCGGGTCAGTGGCTGCTGGCCCCCCTCCCCAGGGCCCTCCCCAAGTCTTGCCTGTATTTATTGGCCCCTGTGGACCCCCCCTGTCCCGGGAGCCCCCGGCCGTGCCCAAGCCAAGGCCAAGTGAAAGCTGCACTAGGACGTGCGTGAATGACGTATCTTTGGGTTTGTTTGTCGTCTTTGTTTTCGGGTTTGTTGGTCTTTTTTTTTTTTAATATAAATATTCTGGGTTTTGTATTTTTGTATATTTTAATCTTTAAGAAAAGAAAAGGAAAAAAAAGAAAAAAAAAAAAAAGAAGGAGAGAAAGGACATAATTCCTGCAATTTATTCTCAGGTATTCGAGCAATCTCAGGGATAAAATGCCTCTGTAGCCCAGTGTTGGACAGAGAGGAGGGTTTTTCCTAACAGCACAAAGAAATGATGAAGTTTGTATTGGAAGTGTAGATCTACCTCACTGGATGTTTGCTAGGTGGGCTGACGTGTTGTCGAGCTTTTCAAATGTGTTTTTTGGTATGTTTGGGATTTGTTTTCTTTTTAACTGTATTGTAGTGGTCTCTTTCCCTTCCCCATGCACTGGTGGAGGCGTCTGGGTCTGTGGATCCGTGTGTGGGGATGGAGGAGCCAGGCAGTGCCATGGGCAGGGAACAGGTGCTCGAGCCCCTGGCAGCTCCCAGCTCCTGAAGTTCTCCCAGCCTGGTGGCTTTTGAGGCCTGTGCCCTGTTTGCCTCTCCTGTGGACTCTGCAGCTGATGGGAGCACTGCAGTGAGCCCTCTGCCCATGGCTGGGATGTCACACAGGCTCCCAGCAGGCTGGGGGGTCAGGATGGGGGTCCCAGCCCCATGCAGGGGGACAGAGGAGCAGCAGACAGTGACCAGGGAGTGTTGGGGACAGGGTTACCCTCAGTCCCTGCCCTTCCTCCCCCTCGAGCTCAGGGCTGGCTGTCCATGGCCTCCTGGGACGGGGAAGGTGCAGCTGCTCCATCACTTTCTCCCTCCTGGCTTCCCTCAAATGCTGACTCACCATGGCTGGGAGAATCTCTGGGTGCCAGGCTCTGGGGTATGAACACTCCTCTGCAGCCCAGGGGTGGCTGGAGCCTTCCCAGGGAGGGTGTCCAGCTGTGGGCACGTTTTCTGCTGGTTTTTAGTAGCAGTAGGTTTAGCTGTGGGGCAGGGCTGGATCAGACAGGAGCACCCACTCCATCCCCAGGGACGGGGGCTCTGGGGGGACTCGCTGAGGCTGCCCAGAGACCCCCAGCACGTGGGCATTGAGGGGGATGGAGAGCGGCCCCAGCTGCTCCCTGCCCTGCTCCAGTAGTTTAGGGTGAGGTGGTGGTCTCTTCTTGGGAGAGGGGGGAAGGGCTTTGTATTTTTTGACTAGCAACAGGATCTGTACAAAACTGCTTCAGGAAAACAGCTTTAGTCTGACGGGGTAAATGCAATAGAGCCTTGGGGGGTGGCTCTTGGGCCTCCCCCCAGCACCTCGGCTGTGCCAGGGAAACTGCTGCCCCCCTCAATCCCTGTGTCTGCCCCCAATCCCTGTGTCTGCCCCTAATTCCTGTATCCGCCCCCAAATCCTGTATCTGCCCCCAATCCCTGTATCTGCCCCCTCAATCCCTGTGTCTGCCCCCAAATCCTGTGTCTGCCCCCCTCAATCCCTATATCTGCCCCCCTCAATCCCTGTGTCTGCCCCCTCAATCCCTGTGTCTGCCCCCAATCCCTGTGTCTGCCCCTAATTCCTGTATCCGCCCCCAAATCCTGTATCTGCCCCCAATCCCTGTATCTGCCCCCTCAATCCCTGTGTCTGCCCCCAAATCCCGTGTCTGCCCCCAATCCCTGTGTCTGCCCCCTCAATCCCTATATCTGCCCCCTCAATCCCTGTATCTGCCCCTAATTCCTTTATCTGCCCCCAATCCCCGTGTCTGCCCTCTCAATCCCCGTGTCTGCCCTCTCAATCCCCGTGTCTGCCCTCTCAATCCCTGTGTCTGCCCCCAATCCCTGTGTCTGCCCCCCTCAATCCCTGTGTCTGCCCCCTCATCCCTATATCTGCCCCCTCAATCCCTGTGTCTGCCCCCCTCAATCCCTGTGTCTGCCCCCCTCAATCCCTGTGTCTGCCCCCAATCCCTGTGTCTGCCCCTAATTCCTGTATCTGCCCCCTCATCCCTATATCTGCCCCCTCAATCCCCGTGTCTGCCCCCAAATCCTGTGTCTGCCCCCCTCAATCCCTGTGTCTGCCCCCTCATCCCTATATCTGCCCCCAATCCCTGTGTCTGCCCCCAATCCCTGTGTCTGCCCCCAATCCCTGTGTCTGCCCCCTCAATTCCTGTATCTGCCCCCAATCCCTGTGTCTGCCCCCTCAATCCTTATATCTGCCCCCTCAATCCCCGTGTCTGTCCTCTCAATCCCTGTATCTGTCCCCTTGTCCCTGTATCTGCCCCCAATCCCTGTGTCTGCCCCCAATCCCTGTATCTGCCCCCAATCCCTGTGTCTGCCCCCTCAATTCCTGTATCTGCCCCCAAATCCTGTATCTGCCCCCCAATCCCTTTATCTGCCCCCTCATCCCTTTATCTGCCCCCCTCATCCCTGTCTATCCTTAAGGATTCTGTAGGACCTTCCCCCCCTGCTCCCACTTTAATGGTTTGGTGATTTCTCTGTCAGATGTCTCGTGTGTGTAAATACCTCTGTAAACCTTTCCACTTTCTCTCAGTATTCTCCTTGGTTATTGTTTACAAAAAATAAGAGGAAAAAAAAAAAAGAAAAAAAGTAAAAAAAAAAAAGAAACTATCCAAAGCATCTACTAGGTTATGGAGCAGGGAGATGGATGTGCTCTCCCACACAGAGCTGCCAGGTGGGAGCTCTGAACCATCCCTGCCCTGGGCAAAGCAAATAGGGAATCACTCAGCTTTCCCCCGGGGTGCTGGGATCTGAGAAAACAGGGATTTTTATCTGTGCTGGGAAGCCACGCTGGAGGAGATGGGATTGATTCGCATCTCCTCGTGTTGGCCATTGTGGCTCTTCCCTTCTGCTGACAATAATTAACTCAATTGCTGCATCATGGCCCACCCTGCCCACGGGCACTATGCATGAGGGGACAGGGGAGGATGGGGCGCGCTCAGGGTCCTGCCGTGACACGGGAGTGTTTGAATGTAGAAAATGTGAGAAATAAATGTAGAGAATGTGAGAAATAAAACAAAGACGTCCCTCACGAGGGGGTGTCTGCCCTGGGGCGAAAGCCTTGAGTCCCAAAAATGTCCACGAGGAGACGGAAGAATGTAATCCATGTTTACTGCTAGCAACCAAAGCGTTTGTGTCAAACCCGTG